TTTTGACTTCCAACGTCCATGTCGTGCGAAAGGGTTGCGATGGACCAAGTAAAATCGCAATTTTACTTCAGTTTTTGACGTCCAACGTCCATGTCGTGCGAAAAGGTTGCGATGGACACTTCAAAATCGCAATTTTACCTCAGTTTTTGACGTCCAACGTCCATTTCGTGCGAAAGGGTTGCGTTTCGTCGCGCTCCGGCGGCACCACCCCCGCCTTAAGAGAGAGATAGAAAGAAGAGCGAGAGGAGATCTGCAGATGTGAAGGTGTGAAGATGTAGATCTGCAGATGTGAGGGCGTGAAGATGATGTAGATCTGCAGGTGTGAGGGTGTGAAGATGTAGATCAGCAGATGTGAGGGTGTGAAGATCTAGATCTGCAGATGTGAGGGTGTGAAGATGTAGATCTGCAGGTGTGAAGGTGTGAAGATGTAGATCAGCAGGTGTGAGGGTGTGAAGATCTAGATCTGCAGGTGTGAGGGTGTGAAGATGTAGACCTGCAGATGTGAGGGTGTGAAGATGTAGATCTGCAGATGTGAGGGTGTGAAGATGTAGATCAGCAGATGTGAGGGTGTGAAGATGTAGATCAGCAGATGTGAAGGCGTGAAGATGTAGATCAGCAGATGTGAGGGCGTGAAGATGTAGATCAGCAGATGTGAGGGTGTGAAGATGTAGATCAGCAAATGTGAAGGTGTGAAGATGTAGATCAGCAGATGTGAGGGTGTGAAGATGTATTACAACGGGTGCTTTTTTACGAAGAACCCTTCGCAGGCGCTCTCGGGAATTAATACCAGCAAACCGATTAGAAAAAAATCTATATATATGGCCCAACCAATCAGGTTGGCGATTCAGCTTGGTTGTTGATATCCCCAAAAGGGCATTGGGCTTGTAAATTTACATCCTACGCCTTGCAGACAACCAAGGCCCAAGTAGGGGTTTTCTGGGCATTGTTGGACAGGCTGACTTTGGTTTCAACGCTTGTCCTGAAATCTCCAGCAAAACGCCTTTGTTGCCTTCCTTTCATCCCTTTCATTCCTTTCATTCCTTTCATTCCTTTCATTCCTTTCATTCCTTTCATTCCTTTCATTCCATTCATTCCTTTCATTCCTTTCATTCCTTTCATTCCTTTCATTCCTTTCATTCATTGCATTGATTTCATTCCTTTCATTCCGTTCATTCATTGCATTGATTTCATTCCTTTCATTCCGTTCATTCATTGCATTGGTTTCATTCCTTTCATTCATTGCATTGATTTCATTCCTTTCATTCCGTTCATTCATTGCATTGATTTCATTGATTTCATTGATTTCATTGATTTCACACGAATTCATTCCATTCATTCATTCCATTCATTCATTCCATTCATTCATTCATTCATTCATTCATCCATTCATTCATTCATTCATTCATTCCTTCATTCATTCCTTCATTCATTCCTTCATTCATTCCTTGATTCATTCATCATTCATTCCTTCATTCCCTTCATTTGCTTCATTTCCTCCATTTCCTTCATTTCCTTCATTTCCTTCATTTCCTTCATTCATTCATTCATTCATTCACTCACTCACTCATTCCATTCATTCATTCATTCATTCATTCATTCATTCATTCATTCATTCCATTCATTCATTCCATTTATTCATTCCTTCATTCATTCCTTCATTCATTCCTTGATTCATTCATCATTCATTCCTTCATTCCCTTCATTTGCTTCATTTCCTCCATTTCCTTCATTTCCTTCATTTCCTTCATTTCCTTCATTCATTCATTCATTCATTCACTCACTCACTCATTCCATTCATTCATTCATTCATTCATTCATTCATTCATTCATTCATTCCATTCATTCATTCCATTTATTCATTCCTTCATTCATTCCTTCATTCATTCCTTGATTCATTCATCATTCATTCCTTCATTCCCTTCATTTGCTTCATTTCCTCCATTTCCTTCATTTCCTTCATTTCCTTCATTTCCTTCATTTCCTTCATTTCACTCATTTCACTTATTTCACTCATTTCATTCATTTCACTCATTTCACTCATTTCACTCCACTCACTCACTCGCTCACTCACTCAGTCATTCATTCATTCATTCATTCATGCATTCATTCATTCGTTCATTCATTCGTTCGTTCATTCATGCTTTCATTCATGTATTTCCTCATTCATTCATTCATTCATTCATTCAGTCAATCAGTCATTCATTCATTCAGTCATTCATTCCTTCATTCGTTCATTCGTTCATTCATTTATTCAGTCATTCATTCACACATTTTCGCATTTCAAGGTGATTCAACTCAATTCAGTTCAATTCTCTCATATTGTTTTGTGTTCAATGCATTCAATTTAATTCACTTCTTTTCAGCTCACCAGCAAGTCCTATAAGCAAACTGGTTCCTATAGTTATATCATCACCACCCCTTTAGGCTAATTGCAAGCAGGGGGGCGTTCCAAAAATGTAGATTGCAATTTTGCCCCCTCGGAATTTGACCGCAGGGGTCATGCTAATTGCAAGCGTGGACCCCTCCAACGTCAGAAGCCGAAGCCTAAAGTTTTACATTTAGAGAGGGGGGGGGGATGAAAAATAAAAGCACGTAAGAGACCGGTCACCCCGTACCCCCCCCGAACCCCCCCGAACCTACCCGCTTCGGACATTATGGAAGGGGGGGAGGGAGGTAACAATTGTAAAATATCTGACGAATTGTCCGAAAACAGTCTCCAAGCAGTTTGCAGATGTTTGTAATCAACCTACACCAAAGGTCCATATTTCCTTGCAGAAACAACTCAAAGTAGATGATAAAATCAAGATAAATCCATGTAACCATCCTACATCTAAGGTCCTTATTCACTTTGAAATTTGATGGGGTACATTTGAGGTCCATTTGAGGTACATTTGAGATATATTTGAGATCATTTAGGTGCAGAAATGGTTCACTTTTTTTTTGATATGACTTGGCTCTGGAAAGCAAAGCCAGATTCTTTGCCTCAATTTCAAGTAAGCATCCATTTACAAGTGGCTTTCTTATATACACTGCAAAGCAGTGAAATGATGGATCTACCATGCATTTCCTGGTTCTGCAGGGGTTGAAACTTACAGTCAAACAGGATTACTCTCCAACCTACATTTTCCCTTTTCGAAAATCCAGTAGCATACCGATCCGATATTTTCACCTTTTTTTTGCACTTTTTTGCGACATATCCTCAGGACCTTTTCAAAGATCCCGAAATTCTTTGCTTCCCTTCCTTTCTTACATCTTTCGGGTTCCTTACCTCCTATGTGATGCTTCTGTATTGTCTTCCCGTCTCGTTTATTCTGTCAAGTTTTTGGAGGGGACTGTTGTGAACTTGTTTCTGCAAGTAAATGTGGACCTTAGGTGTAGGATGGTTACATGGGTATATTTTGATGTTCTCATCTATTTTGAGCTGTTTCTGCAAGTAAATATGGACCTTAGGTGTAGGATTGTTACATGGTTTTATCTTGATGTTCTCATCTATTTTGAGCTGTTTCTGCAAGTAAATTTGCACCTTAGGTGTAGGATGGTTACATGGTTTTATCTTGTTTTTATCATCTACTTTGAAGTGTTTCTGCAAGTAAATGCGGACCTTAGGTGTAGGATGGTTACACGGGTTTATCTTGATGTTCTCATCTATTTTAAGCTGTTTTTGCAAGTAAACATGGACCTTAGGTGTAGGATGGTTACATGTATTTATCTTGATTTTATCTTCTATGTTTTTTTTTGAGCTGTTTCTGCAAGTAAATATGGACCTCAGGCATATGATGATTACATGATTTTTACACCTGTGCTGAATCAATTTCTCATTGGCAGGAGGCAAATTTGAAGACTTCCAACATCTATTTTTACATTTATTGAATTTCAAGGATTTTCCAATAATTTGCAAGGAATAATATACCTTCTATAAATCTATATTACATGTGTAAATGATGAAAAAATGTAGAATCCATTGAAAATAACAGGCAATTGAGGCCCTCTAGGGATACAGATTGCAATTATGATTTTATGCAATTCTGCAGCTATTTGCAGACCTCCAGACTATTGTTCTTGCATTTTTTTCCATGTTCTTACATTTGTTTCCGTAAAATGCAACTTGCAATATTGGACGCCCCCCCTGGAAAATAATTGCAAGTCGGTAAAACGTGGGGGTACATAATTGCAATCTACGAACCTATCAAAATGCAATCTTGCAATAAAGACGATGAAAAAAAACAATTGTAAGCATACATTTTCATAGGTCCCCCCCCCAAAACAACGTCTTATTGCAAGCTTGCATTTTGAGCGTCCCCCCTCCTTAAAAGGGTGGTGGAGATTGGGACCAAATTATTTGTGAAAGGACTTCCGTGAGACAGCGAAACTCCTAGCTACTAAATTTATGGCAATGTCCAGCAACCAAGAGCAGGTTCTACGCAGCACAAGTGTCCATCCCGTCCGTGATTGCCAGAGTCCGCTGAGAGATGAAGTGTTCACCACTGCGGAATCAAGCGACCATCCGATATGTAACCTTTTCAGAAACAGTGAAATGTGATGTGCCTAAGAAAACTATACAGGGAGTCAAATAGTATTACAACACAGCAGATAGGGATCTATCTGACCAGTTCTTGGTTCCTGCAGCAGCTTAGAGTCCTCAGAGGTTCCAAGATGTACGCAGATGTTCTCAAGCAACTCTTCTATTTATATATTTATTCATGTTTATTATATCTATATAAATATAACTATTATAATCATATTCCATCAGTATCTATGATTTGTGTCCATTTATTGTGTTTGCTCTCCTGTTCCATTCCTGCATCTTTTTCTAGCATTTCTCCGTTTTCGGTGTGACAGCATTTCAGCCATGTGCTGGACATTTTTGGAAAACCAGACCGCAAATTCTTCGAGACCTTGTCCTTATTTTCCAAGGCGCCGTGAATTATCCAGACTTATGAACAGTGGACAGTGATGGTAAATAGAATAGTGGAATAAGACATGTCAAGACTCAAAATCTGATGATCTTGGTGGTCGTTGTTACTAGTTTCGTGGGTAATCCTCAGGATGAAGCCGACAAGAAGGCGCTCCAAAGTATTGTGGAGACCAATGCCACGGGTCAGGCTTTGTACAGAGATTTGACGCACGACTTTGCGCACCATGCTGTGTTCAAGAGGTGGGGGTTGAAATGGGTTGATTTTCTTTTTGCCTTTGGACCGGTTGAATCATTTGACTTCATAGCTTCATTGGTGAACACGGCCGTGAAAAACTCGGGTACCTCATAACTTTCATGCCATCACATGCTTTGCATCCCAAGCATTGTCAGCGTCTGTATGTTGGTGTGTCAATGGAATTTGTAGTACGGACTTACACCAAGAGTGTGACAGGTGGTGTGGCTCAGTTTGGATCCAAATATAATTAGGTACCCAATGGTACCAAACAAAATGATCACCCACAATGTTGAGACATCTCCACATGTCGGGAACAGTGTCTAAGTATGTTTAAGTACACTGAGTCCATTGCAGATTCAAGAATACCCGGCCGCCCATTGAGCAGTTGCTGAATATGATTCCGGTCTTGAAACCGCGCAGTTCCTTGTGAAAAATTGGTGGACCCGACGACCCAAGAACGCACCGGTGTGACTGGACGGTTGTTGTTTTTGTTCACGGCCGCGTTAGCGACCCCATAGGAAAGTATCATTTTTTAGCCAACATGGGGGTTGGGGTGGGGTGGGGTGGGATGTTAACGTTCATGCTACGCTGATGATGTTACGCTGATCATGGGGGTTGCCGTGGGGTGGGATGTTAACGTTCATGCTACGCTGATGATGTTACGCTGATCATGGGGGTTGCCGTGGGGTGGGATGTTAACGTTCATGTTACGCTGATGATGTTACGCTGATCATGGGGGTTGCCGTGGGGTGGGATGTTAACGTTCATGTTACGCTGATGATGTTACGCTGATCATGGGGGTTGCCGTGGGGTGGGATGTTAACGTTGATGTTACGCTGATGATGTTACGCTGATCATGGGGGTTGCCGTGGGGTGGGATGTTAACGTTCATGTTACGCTGATGATGTTACGCTGATCATGGGGGTTGCTGTGGGGTGGAGTGAGATGTTAACGTTCATGTTACGCTGATGATGTTATGCTGATCATGGGGGTTGCCGTGGGGTGGAGTGGGATGTTAACGTTCATGTTACGCTGATGATGTTACGCTGATCATGGGGGTTTGGGGTGGGGTGGAGTGGGATGTTAACGTTCATGTTACGCTGATGATGTTACGCTGATCATGGGGGTTGCCGTGGGGTGGGATGTTAACGTTCATGTTTTACGGTTCTCCTGATGAATGTACCGTGACCATCGGGGTTAGCCGGTGGGTGGGATGTTTACGTTTCATGTTACCTGATGAGTTACGCTGATTCATGGGGGTTTGGGGTGGGTGGAGTGGGGATGTTTAACGTTCATGTACGCTGATCATGGGGGTTAGCGTGTTGCGGTGGGGTGGGGTGGGATGTTTTAACGTTCATGTTACGCTGGTGATGTCCGCGGATTCATTCGGGGTTGGGCGTTGGGCTGGGGATGGGATGTTCACGTTCATGTTACGCTGATGTTGTTCGCGCTGATCATGGGGGTTGCCGTGGGGATGGAATGTTAACGCTTCATTGTTACGCTGGATGATGTTACTCTGAAAGGTGTTACGGCCGGATCATCGGGGTGGGAGGTGGGGGTGGGGGTGGTTGGGGGGTGGGTGTCGGGCGTTAACGTTCATGTTTGCTTGGGTGATGTTTACGCCTGGTATACCGGGGTTGGGGGTGGGGTTGGGTCGGATGTTAACGTTCATGCTACGCTGATGATGTTACGCTGATCATGGGGTGATCAACGTTCGTTTTGGCTGTCGCAGAGCCAATGGGATGCGAAAATGAGGTTCAAACCCATGGTAAAAGTGGGACGTTCTGAACACAGGTTCCATTACGACCTTTCAAATACATTGCAAAACGCAGCAGTGAATCTCTGAGACTCCTTTCGAAATGAGCAAATTACCCAGGGTCGTTAACACGGCCGCAACCTTGTTTTTCCCCACATCTTTGTGTGGGGTTCTTGTTTTTGATTCTGTATCCCGGGTGCCTCTCCCTCCCGCCTCCTCCTCCTCCTCCTCCTCCTCCCGGTCACACATACTTAACATACAATAACTTCACACACACAAACTTAACATACAATAACTTCACACATACTTAACATACAATAACTTCACACATACTTAACATACAATAACTTCACACACACAAACTTAACATACAATAACTTCACTCATACTTAACATACAATAACTTCACACACACACAAACTTAACATACAATAACTTTACACACACTCACACACACAACTCTCACATACAATGACTTCAGACACACAAACTTAACATACAATAACTTCACACACACACACACACTTAACATACAATAACTTCACACACACACTCACATACAATAACTTCACACACACACAAACTTCACGCACACACAAACTTAACATACAATAACTTCACACACACTCACATACAATAACTTCACACACGCAAACAACATACAATAACTTTACACACACTCACACACACAACCCTCACATACAATAACTTCAGACACACAAACTTAACATACAATAACTTCACACACACACTTAACATACCATAACTTCAGACACACTCACATACAATAACTTTACACACACAAACTTAACATACAATAACTTTACGACACACACACACAAACTTAACATACAATAACTTCACACACACTCACATACAATAACTTCACACACACACAAACTTAACATACAATAACTTTACACACACACAACTTCACACACTCACACAATACAATAACTTCACACACACACAAACTTAACATACAATAACTTCACACACACACTCACACACACTTGCTCAGAAACATCTTATCGAATTACTGATGTGGAATGCATCGCACGTGCACAAACAATCCAGTAAAGTCTGACAGGAGAAAATGGATGACTAGGCGAGAAAACCAAAAAGAAGAATTCTTTCACCATCCTGGCTAGATGCAACTGTTCCATCTGACGAAGTCAGCAGTAAATCAGATTGTGAAAACCGTACATTGGTTTGAAACCTGTTAGAAACGAAGCTCTGAGGAAGGTCCTG